CTCTTCCCCGCCGCCCTGTGACACACGGGACGCTCTTCCCTGCCGCCCTGTGACGTGGGGGACACTCTTCCCCGCCGCCCTGTGACGCGGGGGACGCTCTTCCCCGCCGCCCTGTGACGCGGGGGACGCTCTTCCCCGCCGTCCTGTGACGCGGGGGACGCTCTTTCCTGCCGCCCTGTGACACACGGGACGCTCTTCCCTTCCGCCCTGTGACACGGGGACACTCTTCCCCGCCGCCCTGTGAGGTGGGGTCCCCGCCGCCCTGTGACATCGGGATGCTCTTCCTAGCCGCCCTCGGACGTGGAGGATGCCCCTTCTGGCCGCCCTCTGATGTGGGGACACTCTCCTGGCCGCCCCGTGACATGGGGGGAGGCTGTTCCCATCGTCAGGATTGTCTTGGGCTCAGAGCTTTGTTCTTCGTCCCTCTTGGAAATGACGGGGTGGGTTGGGGTCAGAGGCCCCCTCGCTGCTTCTTGCCAGCAGCGCGCTAGCCAAGCCCTGTCCCCACGGCTGACGCATCGCACGCTCCGTGAGCCTTCCAGCAGGCAGTGCAGCTCCCTTGTCCACCAGCATGGGGTGACCACTTCTCCCCTGCTCCTGTTCCCCTGCAGGTCCGAGTCCATGACCATGAACAACTTCTTCTGCAGCGTCGATGGGCAGCTGGAGCTGCTTGCCCAGAGCGCGCTGGAGAGCCCTGCGTCCAGTGTGGGTGCCTTGCACGCCCTGCGGCCGCGGCTCAGCCACTTCCACCAGCTGCTACTTGAGCCCCCCAAGGTGGGTGAGGGTGGGGGTGGCCGCCCTCGGGGCCTGTGGGGTGAGGGCACCCCTTCTGGGGGCTGTGGGGGGAGGGCACCCCCCTCTGGGGGTTGTGAGGTGAGGACACCCCCTCGGGGGGCTGTGGGGTGAGGGTACCCCCTCTGAGGGCTGTGGGGTGATGGCGCCCCCCTCGGGGGACTGTGAGGTGAGGACACCCCCTTGGGGGGCTGTGGGGTTAGGGTACCCCCTCTGGGGGCTGTGGGATGAGGATGTCCTCCTCGGGAGACTTTGGGGTGAGGGCACCCTCCTCGGGGGACTGTGGGGTGAGGGCACTCCCTCTGGGGGCTGTGGGGTGAGGGTACCCCTTCTGGGCACTGTGGGGTGAGGGCACTCCCTCTAGGAGACTGTGTGGGGTGATGACGCCCCCCTTGGGGTCTGCCTCTAAGCTCACTTCCTGCCCTGTAGCTGGAGACGCTTCAGACCACATGGGGCAGCCTGGCCCCTCCGCTGGGGAACATGCGTCTGCACGTGGTCAAGCTCCTGGCCAGCGCCCTGAGTGCCAACGACATGGCCCTCACTCAGGAGCTCCTGGCGCTGGACGTGCCCAACACCATGCTGGTACGGGGGCTGGCAGGCTTGGGGTAAGTGGTATGTGGTGGGCCTGGGGCGAGGACCACTCCCGGGGGCCAGCCTGTGGCTTCTTCTACCCCCAGGATCTCTTCTTCTGCTATGTCTTCAACAACTTCCTGCACGCGCAAGTGGAGATGTGTATCAGCGCCATGCTAAGCTCTGGGCCCCCTCCCGACAGCAGCTCCGAGACCCCTGTCCCCAACCCCGTTGTCAAACACGTGAGTAGGGTCCTGTGGTGGGTGCAAGCCTGACTGTGGGGAGGGGCCCCGGGGCACAGGCCTGGGGGTGCAGATGTAGGGGAGGGGACAGGGCCCTGGGGCATAGATGGGGAGGTAGGGTGGAGAGGGGACTGTGGGCAGGGCCCTGGGAGCTGGCCTAAGGCTGTGGTAGGTGTGGACTTGCTGGGGCTCGGCTGTCGTGGGGAGGCTGAGCAGGGGTTGTCGGTGTGGGGGGTGTGGGGTAACTCCTGAAACCCGGCTGGGCGGGCCTCCCGGAGGCACGTGTGAGGAGAACGTAAGTGGTTTGTGCCCGTGTCGGTGTGCTGTGAGCGCGCACTGGAGCTCCCCGGTGACTGCACGCGGGGTGTGACTCCCCGTGGGACAGACGGGCTGATTTGACCCCCGGCCCGAGCTGCTCACGTCCCTCCACAGCTGCTCCAGCAGTGCCGCCTGGTGACGCGGATCCTGACGTCCTGGGAGGAGAACGAGCGCGGGCAGTGAGTGCCACCTTCCTCTGGGGGGTCTGGACAGTGTGAAGGGGAGGGTGGGGGGTGAGCGGTGGAGGGCAGGAGGGGCTCCGTGTGTGTGAGAGAGAGAGGGCCAGCTGTGTGTGAGATCCAACGGGGGCTGGGTGTGTGTGTGTGTGTGTGAGAGAGACACACACGTGGAGGGAGTTAGAGTGTGTATCTGTGATGTTGGGGGCCACAGAGGTGGTGTGTTTCTGTCTGATGCGGGGGCTGGTGAGGGTGCACCCAGCCGAGTCTCCCCTCTGTCCAGGTCTGGGGGAGGCCCACGGAAAGGCTACATGGGCCACCTGACCCGAGTGGCCAATGCCTTGGTGCAGAACGCAGAGAAGGGACCCAACGCCGAGCAGCTGGGGCAGCTCTTGAAGGGTGAGGAGCTGTTGCATGTGGAGGCGGCTCCGAGGTCCCCGGGGCGGGCAGGCGGCTGGCCCCCGCCCTCCGGCCTCACCGCCTCGTCCCGCCCCAAGCAGAGCTGCCGGAGGAGCAGAGGGAGCGGTGGGAGGCCTTCGTGGCAGGGCCGCTCGCCGAGACCAACAAGAAGAACACCATCGACCTGGTGAGGCTGCTGGGCGCCCCCTCAGCCGGGCGGGTGGGACATCCTGTCCCTGTCCTGGTGACGATGTCCGTCTGTCACCACCCGTGCCCAGGTGAGCACCCGCCCCCTGCACTCGTCCAGTGATGACGAGGACGACAGGCTCAAGGAGCTCAGCTTCCCTGAGGAGGCCGTGCTGCAGCAGGTGGGCTGAGGCCCCAGACTCCCCAGGCCCCCCCGTGCTCCTGTGCCCCATGTTCCTCTCTGTCCCCAGGCCCTCGGGCTCTCACGCTCCACTGGGCTCCCCATGCACTCCCCTGGACTCCTGCACCCACTCTCCCCCCGTGCACACTCCTCACAGTCTTTGTGCTCCAGGGCCCACCCTCTGTGATCCCCGTGCACTCCCCAGGCTCTCACGCCCACTCTCTGTGATCCCTGTGCACTCCCGGGCTCTCACGCCCACCCTCTGTGATCCCCTGCACTCCCCGGGCTCTCACGCCCACTCTCTGTGATCCCCGTGCACTTCCCGGGCTCTCACGCCCACTCTCTGTGCTCCCCTGTGCTCCACGCTCCACTGGGCTCCCCATGCACTCCCCTGGACTCCTGCACCCACTCTCCCCCCGTGCACACTCCTCACAGTCTTTGTGCTCCAGGGCCCACTCTCTGTGATCCCCGTGCACTCCC